TAAACCTCCAGCCCGATTCTTTTTATTTTCTATGCTACTGGAGTTTTTTCAAGTAATCTTTACCTGTGCTTATGACTTCAAGCAGTTTTCCTGTTGTTATCTCCCAGTGATTTCAAATATTCTGTTTCTATATCTGTCTTTGATCTGTTTTTTGGGAGAGGGTGAGAGGTACTGATTTAGTTTCAGTCTTCCGCAAGTGGATCCAGTTTTCCCAGCACCATTTGTTAAAGAGCCTTTTTTTTTTTCTCCAATAAATGTTTTTGGCCTTTTATAAAAAACCAGATATACGTGCATGGGGCTGTTTTGACATCTTCTGTACTATTCCATTGGTGTATGGTCTGTTTTTGTGCCAATGCCATGCTTTTTTTTTCACAAACCTTTATAATATAACTTCAAATTTGGTATTGTGATGATTACAACTTGGCTTTTTTTGTTCAGGATTGCTTTGCATATTCTGAGTCTTTCTGACTCCATATGAAATTTGGGATTCTTTTTTCTATGTCTGTGAAGAATATTGTTGGTTTAAATTTATAGGTGATTTTCATGATACAAAAACAAGGTATGTCATTCCATTTTTTAATGTCTTACTCATTTTCTTTCTTCAGAGTTCTATAATTTTCATTATAGAGGTCTTTCAGCTCCTTGATTAGGTTGACTCTTAGGTATTTTTGAGAAATTGAGAAATAATTGTTTTCCTCATCTTTTACTCAGTGAGTTCATTATTGGTTTACAGGAATGTGATCGATGTCTGTGTGCTGATTTTGTATCCTTCTACTTTGCTCAATTTGTTTATCAGATCTAAAAGTCAGGTGAAGCTTTTTCAGATTTTTCAGTAAAGCATTGGAAATAGGAATTATTTTAAATTCTCCTTTTTCTATTGATGTTCCTTTTATTTTTCTTCCAATATTGTGATGGCCGAAGCTGAACAGGAGTGGTGAAGTTGGACACCCTTCTCTTGTTCCTGATTTTAGAGGGAATGCTTTTGGTTTTTCCCCATTCAAATGAAGTCGGCCATGGGTCTGTCGTACATTGTAGCTTTTAAAAATAACATCCTTGTGGGCTGGGGATTTAGCTCAGTGGTTTCACCGCCTACTGTGCAAGCACAAGGACCCGAGTTCGATCCCTGGTACAAAAAAAAAAAAAATCCTCGCAATAACAGAAGTGTAGTGAGTGATTACCAGGATGCTAGGGATAAAGTGGATTGTATAAAAAAGTGAATGTGGGAAATGTAGTGTAGTGCAATTCTTTGACTCAATTATTTTAATTACATGAAGATACATATGTTATAAAGTTGAGTAAAACACAACTACTGAATTACTGAAGTACAAATAATCTCAATGGACTTTACCAATGTCAATTTCCTAACTATAATATTTACTGTTGATAGCTATACATGAGGTAAGCACTGGGGAGGCTAGATGAAAGGCACACAGGACATCTTCATACCTATCTATTCCAGCACGCAGGTGCCACTTCTTTAATTCTTTGGTTTTTCTTCTTCCTTTTTAAAAAATAGTTTACTATTTAAGTAAGGATTAAGTTAGTTTGTCTCAGCTATTTCTGACATTAGTAATATAATGTCAACAAATTACTTTAAATTTTTTTCTTCCTTCTTATATTCTGGAAAATTTTAAATAGCATGAGATTACCTCCTCCTTCAAGATTTGTTTAATTCTGCTAAGAAAACATCTGCATTTATTGAGTTATTTATTTATTCTTGATGAAGTCTTTCTGACAGATTTATTGCTTTTTTTCATGGGAATCAGACTGCTTAGATTCTTTAAAAATTCTTTTCTCATCAAGCTTGGTATTACACTTTCCTAGAAAGTTATTTCACCCAGGTACTCATTTATTTCCATATGTTTGAGGTAAGCAGCTTTACGATATTTTAATTTTCTATTTTCTAAGATTTCTTCACTCTTCTCTACTTAATTTTGAATATTTGTTCTCTTGTATTTTTCTTTATAGCAATCTAAGTATATTTTAAATCAATTTTGCCCTTTTTATTTTACCTTTTTTGAGCCAATTTTAGGATTTATTGTTTTCAGCACTTTGTATTTTCTGACTCATTAATCTCTTCTTGTAATTTTATTTCTTCCTATTTTTTTCTAAATTTTTAAACAAGGTAATTGATGTTTTTGTTATTTATTTTGTACTGATGTATGTAGTTAGAGCTATCTGTTTTACTCTGAGCACATTACTTTAGGGAGGAGGCAGACATATTTAGTAAAATGTGTACTAAATTGTGTTTCAAAACACATCTTCTGACCATGTCAGTCTGACTCCTTTGGTTCCAGTTCTCAACTATAAAATTAGGAAATATCTAATTGAAGAACTTTTGTTTATGAACTGTCCACATGTTCACCCAGATTGCAACTCTAAGAAACTGAATCAAGTTTCCATTGTAAACTTTAAAGTCTCACTCACTTTTTTCCACAGCAATATGCTAGTGAGTCTGTGAACTGTAGTGTCCAGTGGACTCAGAAAGATGCTCCTTCTCACTCTTTGACTACAAGATTGAGCCTCAGGTCTGTATGGACCTTCTTGACTGACTTGACACATTTTGTAAGAACAAATCAATCTTTGAAAATCATTATGTAAAGTTCATGAGGAAGGGTTTTCTTAAATCCTTTGAAACTCTTGAAATATAAAAACATAAATTTCCTTATCAATGAAAAATCAAGCAGAGCTCACTCTTAAATCTAAGTTAAGATGAAGGCAAAAGGTAGTGAGTGTTATGTTAGTAAAACAGCAGAAGAGATTTTCTAAGGTCTAAAAGTTGCAGAGAAATACATACTAATGAGAACATTATTAAGCACTGACAAATTTTACATCCAAATTTTACTTTAAAATAAAAATAACAAATTGAGTGTGGTGGCACATTCCTGTAATCCCAGTACTTCAGGAGGCCAAGGCATAAGGATTCCAAATTCAAACCCAGCCTGGGATTTAGTGAGACCCTGTCTAAAAGGAAAAAAAAAATTAAAAAGCCCTGGGGATGTAGCTCAGTGTGAAGGCTCAGGGTTCAATCCCAAGTAAGAAGCACTAGGAAGAGGAGGAGGAGGAAGAAGAAGAGGAGGAGGAGAGATTTATTTAGAGATAATAAAAAACATAGTATGTATGTTAGGAAATAGGAGCCAGATTATTACAGAATCTTTAACTCATCTATATTATATAAAATTTAAATGTGAAATATCTGTTTATATATTAAAATCTTTTTGGTAATTGAAATATCAAGACAACATATTTTGCTTTTAGCTGGAAATTCAGAAAAATGCCCCAGAAGGAGAATTAGGAAAAAAACTGGACAAAATGTCCTACATTTACATGTATTTACTGAAAGCCATTTTAAGTATTCCACTTTGTAAAACGTTATTATGCAACAATGGTGATCATTCCCTACTTAGTATAACTTCAATCTGTCTAAAATAAATTGCTTCTGAGTAGTTTTTCTCTACATCTCACCACATTTCTAACTATAGGAATATAATCTTGTAGCCTTAAAAATGCATTGATTTTTTAGGTGCACATAAGGAAGGAGACCAGGATAAGTAACAGTGCTAAAAAATAAGCATAAACATATTCCATCTCTTCCTTATTTACCTCTCAAGAAAGCAGAAAGAAAAGTTAGATCACATACAACACTTTGTTTAAAGGCTTATGATGTAACATGTTTTCCAGTTCCTTTATAATGAATATTTGAAATTGAACAGTTTACCTAATTGAGTAAAAAATATCAAACAGTTTGCCTAATTACAAACCTTACATGGAAATACTGGGGTGATAGTTTAGTTGGATAAAGACATTTATAGCCACAGTGTCTTGGGTATTCCTTCATAAATCAGTACGAGATGCACAAAATTCATGGTATTGGGCCGGGGATGTAGCTCAGTGTTTCTGCCGCCTGTCTCTCAAGCACAAGGTCCTGAGTTCGATCTCCAGTACCAAAACCAAAAACAAAAACCAAAATATATGGTATTCTGAAACTTCTAAAATTGTAAACATATTGTCCCCATTTAGGTGGAAACAAAAATTGCTTTTCACAGTGTCATACTGGAATTACAAATTAAATGAGATAAAGATGCTAAGATAATGAGCATCAAATTAAATGAGATAAAGAAGTATGATATGATATGATATGGAAGACAGCGCATTTGAATTTATTTTGGTTAGATTTAAGTTTTAGAATTTACCATTTATGACCTGTATGAGCTTGGATGAATTTCACTTTGGCCCTTTTAATTCTTCTCTAAAGTGGAAATAATGATACCTACTTTTAGAGTTGTCATAAAAACAAAGTGAGATAGTGTGTATAACTGCATTAACTACCTGGTAAGTATCTATATACTAAATTGTCACTGGTCTCATGATAATCATATTTTAATTTACCACTGTTCAAAAATACAGAAATTAATAAAAGGATAAAAATGTGAACATGTACATCAAAATTTGGGAAAATATTCTAAAAAATGAATGGAAATGAAGCAAATTGTTCACAAAGAAATTGAGGTGAATTAAGAAATCACTTAAAACTCCACTAATATGGCCAGCATCCAGTCAAAAGCAGAACTAGTCTTAGACAAACATGTAGTAGGTTTGTGTATTTTCTGTCATTAGGTAGATTTCTAATTATAGAAATTATATATTATTTCAGAGGCAAAGGCCCATTGAAAAATACATCTGATGTCATTAACGCTGCCAAGAAGATTGCTGAAGCAGGTTCTAGAATGGACAAATTGGCCCGTGCTGTAGCTGATCAGGTAATGTAAGAGAGGAGAGCTGGAACATGCTGAGAGGAATCATAAATTACTACTAGAGTTGTGTAATCAGAGCTGCTTCTGAAGAATGACTTGTCACAGTCACTAATATTTTACAAACTGACCTTTGACTCTGCTGTGACTGGGCTGAGGGCAAAACTGAGCTGAGCTCAGGAGACACTCCTAGGACCACCAAGCACTAGAGAGAAGAACACCAGCTACCTCAGAGATGAGGTTTATGAAGAGTTAAAGTTTAACCCAGTCATCCTCACGCAGAAAGTCAATTTTAATGATAATGAGAGCGTAAAGAAAGGAAGCAGAACATTTAAAAAATTATTATTATTTTGGAGGTCTTGGCTTAAATATCTTTTTTTCTCAGAAATTCCTGTTTAAGGCTTTTTGGAGGCTTGTTTTCCTAGTATTTAGCATGTTAAAATTTTTTTTTTATCTTTTTACTTTTTTCCTAATGTTGTCCCCTTCATGAAAAATTTTAGGCTTCACATCTTTGTTGACTGATTTATTGTAGGGTTGAGTAAATGAGCAAAAAAGGGCAGGGGAATGGATATACAGAGGTTTAAAGGGATAGTGGTCAGGATTCGATGGTTTGTGTAAGAAGCAGAGGGGAAAGAAACTGCTAAGGTTAGGATGTGAACTGAGGAGGAGTTACCAGAGGTGTGTGGAGAGAAGATAAGAGGACAGGAAGAATTGGGGGCATCTGGGAGAGCATCATGTTTTTAAATGTGGTAGCAGGAAAACACAAATTTACCTCTTACTATTCAATATTATCTAACACTTTTAATAATTCCCCTTATCCTCTGGCATAAATGGGGTTATCTACATAATAAGATCCTCCAGATTTCAGTTGTATCTTACTTCAAAGGCATCAAAGATAAATGAAAATTTCAAAATATCTTTTGTGCTTTCACTTCAAACTAGGATACACATTAAAATAATTCTCAATCTCAGTTGGAATGTTTGAGTTTATTTCAAACTTTTCAGTTTATTTGACTTGTACTGGAACTTTAAAATCCTGTTGCAAAAGTCATGTTGCAGTAACTTTCCATTTTTTATAAGGGGATTTTTAGGCAATAGACGTTTTAAGATAACTGATTAACCATTTAAGCAACAGTTAGGAATATAGTTTGAGCTACTGCAAATGAAATATATCTTAAGATACAAGTTTCTGAAATACAAATATTACATGTACTGTTATTTACATGGAAATATTAAAAGGAACACAAATTTTCTTAACAGATGAAAATATAGTGTTGCCTTTTAGAAACATTGAAGGATAAAGGTTTTTTTTTCCTACTTCATAGATGCCCCTAATCTCCTGAATTTTGAGTCCTTGTGTTTCTTATTATAGACTTCCTCTCTCATTTCTCATTTTTAGAGTCGCTCCTCTAAAAACTTGCTACCTTCCACAGCCAGACTCTACACATCAATACCAAATTTACTCATTTTATAAAGTTGGAAAAAGTCCAGGTGATTAAACTATTAGTATTTAAGATAAGAATCATCAGATTCTCACTTTAATTGTAGTTATGATAGCTAACCTGAGAATATTTTAGTTTTGAATTTTTGAGAAACTATTAGTTGAGATAACTTATTACTATTACCATAATGTCAGAAGTCACCATAATTTGGAGGAGTTGAGGAACAAACATTTGCTCTTATTGATTTTGGATTAATGTCAGGTGCAAGATTTCAAAGCATGAATTAAGCTTCTTCTACAGAGTTCCATACATATTCCACAAATTTCACGTACAAGAAGAAACAAAGAACAAGGAACCTACTTAAAAATATACAAACGACAAAATCATCAACCAGGAAGGAAAGCTACATTCTTGTCTGCAAATGCTGAAGGAAGTTGGGATGTATGGAGTGACTAGAAATTGATGAGTGATTATAGCGGATTTGTTAGGAAGTACATGTTCCTCTTTTCCTCGAAGTGAAAACTGAGCAGAATTTGAATGATTTTTTCATTATACATTGAATCTTAATAGCTGAAAATATTTCATAATATAAGTAGATTTCTGAAGTTCAAAAGGTTTAGTTCTGAATCATTTAATATTTTAAGACATTTATTTCTAGTAATACAACATGAAGCGTAGCCCCAAACAGTTTTGATATATAGCAAACACAACACCAACACACACACACACACACACACACACACACACACACTGATCCCTGAATCCTAGATTTATTTTGAGAATAAATGTTAATGGATTTTTAAAGTAAATAGAAGAAGCTTAAGCCTAACTCATTCTTTCTGGTATTCTTACTGATATTAACTGTAAAATACCTAGTAATTTTTGTTATTTTTCTCTGAATAGGGATTTCTCAAATTCTGTACCTATTTCCATGGTACAGAAGTTACTTTTTTTTGCTATATCATCTCCTTTTTAAATATGTTTTTTAACTGCTTCAGTTTAAATAATAGCATAGAATGAACACCATCAATGGGTGGATGGTTGCCTTTATTTTGCATGAAAATATTTTAGGAAGATTTGAGATATGCATGCAATATAAACTTTTTACGGGCTGCTGCATTTTTAATTACTGTTGCATTGAGATAGAATTCTCAATTTGCTGCAAGGTATTTGTATGAAAAGGCTTGTCAGCCCTCTGGGGACATATCATTTTAAAGTTAATTCCTTCCACTATATGAGTCTCTGGAGTAGTATAAATATTACAGTATTAAGTACTTATAGAAAGCTAAAAACAGTCTCTGTGGGATTCTTTCTTGATAAATGCAGGTAGTGGAAAAATACTACAATTCTAAGTGTTATATATAAAAGAAACTTTTATTGTTTATTCAATAAATGTTTATGTCAAACTACTCACTTCACATTCTTGATGAAAAAAATTCCTTTCTTGAGTTCACAGGAAACATAGCTTGAAGGTTTTTTTTTTTTTATCCTTATTCTTATTCTAAATAAGATACTTCAATTTTGGCTTCAAGTATTTATTTCTTACTGTCTTTCATCAGAGATCTGGTGATTGTATGCTCTTTACAAATGGTCAAATTGACCCAGAATGATTAATAGGGCCTGGAAACATCTCAAGCTGAACATCTGATCACTTTAGGAATACATATATTGTAATTACTTGGTAGCCATTGGTATTGAAGCCTCCAAATTATTTTAGGGAGTCGTGTAAATGTCTAGAGGAGTGTTCAGCTAAGCTCTGTGTACATGGTGAACATCTACCCACTTCCATCACAAGGAGAATTCAAATTTCCCCACCAGACTTGACACTAGTACATCCATTGAAAGGACCCTGTTGTAACTGCTATGGATTTATTCCAACTGGCTTCAAATTTATTGTCAAATCTGTTTTTCTCACACTGGTTATGAACAATTTCAAAATGCCTCATGTAAATGAAATTTATTATATTGCTAAAATTATGATAAATCCAAAAATACGTGTAATAGACTTCTTTTAGTGAATGCAGTATTTCTTACAAATGAAAGAAAACACGTATATTTTGCCCAATTAACTGATTTGAAACTCACCCCTATGATATGGCAGAGATGTTTCCACATAGAGTGATTTACTTCCAGTATCCATTGCTTTATTTCTCCACATTAAAATGACTTTTTTCATAGTGAAATTTGAAGAAAACTAGTGAGGAAAGAAGCCCTGTGGTATACTTAGTTTTCTTAAGAATTTAGAGGACAGGGCTGGGGATTTAGCTCAGTGGTTCTGCCGCTTGCCTCATAAGCACAAGGATCCAAGTTAGATCCCTGGTACCAAAAAAAAAAAAAAAAGAAAAGAAAAAGAAAAAGAATTTAGAGGATAAGCCAGATGTGTTGGAGCATGCCTTTAATCCCCACACTTGGGAGGCTGAGGCAGGAGGATTGCTGCAAGTTGGAGACTGGTCTGGGCTACATAGTGATTTCAAGGCCAACCTGAACTACATGGCGAAACCCTATCTCAAAAAAAAAAAAAAAAGAATTTAGACTATAAATGATAAAAACACTAAGTGTAAACTAGTATACAGACACCACAATAAAACTTTCTAGACCCATCTTCAATAATTTCTATAAAATGTTGACAAAGTAGAGGTAGCCAGTCTAAACCACTAACTTTGGCCTTTCTCAAGATTCTTGATTAAAATATATGTAATTAAGGTATAGGACACTGGAAACTTTTCATCCTGCATTTTTTATATAGCAAATGTTAGGAACAGAAGTGTACGTACTAATTGAGACCACTTTTTTGTTTTATAGTGTCCTGATTCAGCATGTAAACAGGATTTATTAGCCTACCTTCAACGAATTGCCTTGTATTGCCATCAGCTTAATATCTGCAGCAAGGTGAAGGCAGAAGTACAGAATCTGGGAGGAGAGCTCATTGTGTCAGGGGTAAGCTGGGACTCAGGCTTCATAATGTAAAGTTCCCACTGTTGTACATCCAAGGCAAGCATTCTTGGCAACAGTACTGCTAAAAACACCAAACTACAGTGATTCACAGGATTTTTTAAAAAAATAAATGTTATCACCATTATTCCAGACATTACAATAACTCACAAAGAGCAATTTGATTTTCCAATTACCCCATGTTTATACTAGCCTTGTAAAATCTCCATTCTTCACAAGAAAACTAATTTCATAGTCTGGAAACTCATTGCCAAGCTAGGACTATTATAATTATTTGGGGCTTTTGTATATTTATTCATTGTGAGTCTACTTCCCTTTGTTAGTCCTAGTAATTTTCATTCTCTGTTCAGGAGCCAACCTCTCTATGTGTGAATTGCGTTCACATGTTAGAGATGGTGAGAACAATAGGAATTCATTCATCAGGTTCCAATGCATACTAGGTTATCAATAACCCTTAAAAGCCAGAAGATATTTGAATTTAATACAGGTTGATGTGCTGTTGCCAAAACCCCACATAGTTGTTAAACACTAACAATTATATATTCTTTGCTAAATCACTCCAGTGTTGCTTTTCTCATGAAACTTTAATTATCTAAACCATTTCCATCAGATGCATAGAAATAAAAAGGTCAATGAAATTTAGAAGAATCATGATTTCTTGGCAAGATTTCCAAATGTATGTGTTGAGGTTCTTCATCTTGGCTTCTTCTCCTCCCTCATACCCTTTCTCTCAACACAAGGTGCCATTTGTTGTAAATTATTTGCAAGTTCAGAAATGTGGCTTTGCCACCTTGGCTCTTTTCCCAGTCAACCATGCTAATGCCCCTTTAACTATGGAATTACCAGGACCATGACATTATCAATATGGTGAATATAAATATCATACTGGTCACAAACCCCAATTCCTCCTGAACCCATTTTTGGAAATTCAGCAATTTGACATTTGGTAAAGATATCTTGAAAAGTTGTAATGCCATTCTTGAACCCTAATATTTGAGTTCCTGTATTGTTTGGTGTTCAGAAAACGTAGCTGGGAAAAGACCTGATCTGGCTTGCATGGAGATAACATCCTGGAAAGCCAATTCTATGCAGTTCTACCTTTGACTCAACAAATTGGCTATTTTGTGCTTCTTCCCAAAGCACAGTCACCTCTTTGCATTTCCAAAATGATCCTGCTTCAACATTCTTCCACGACCAACAGCATTCTGTCTTGCAATGTGTCCTTTCTGCCAAGCTGGTAATTACCAATATTCTCTCGCCAAGAAATGATCAAAATATTGCATCTCCCTTGCTTCCTTTCTTATCTTCAGCCTTGATGGTATAGTTTCCCATACCACTCAGCTTTCATGTTCATATGTTTATAGCACCTGTGGAACTGAGTGCTTTTTGTTCAGCTTGCCTTGTGTGCTTTCATTTGTTACTTTCTGAATCTTATTATTTACATGGATGCTCGAAGTATCTTTGTGGATCTCAGATTCCATGACCTCATCTAGGCAATATTGGCAGAGCTGCTTACCATCATCCTTTCAGTACCCATTGTTCGTCACTGCTGCCAGAGCTTCATTTCCATTGTCTTTTCCTCATTTAGTTGTAGTTCAAACTATCACTGGCTTTTATCACTTGCACTGTTGGCATTTGCACAGGTGTTTGAGATTGAGAACACCATCAAGAAGCCTATTTCCTTCTTTGAATCTTAGTGGCAGAGTTCATAAGTCCTTGCACGGAAGAAGGCTTCTTTTAGAGAAATAACTTTACAGTAATTCTGAGTCAAATACATTATAAAAGTTTGCTATTATGTTGCTCAGTTATGGGCCTGCTCTTGGCCTGATTTTTCCAAGCTTGACTGCTATGTGGTGCCACACCTGCATCTGTAATTTGCTGTCTTTGCCACTTCTGCTTCCATCTTATTCTTCATCCTTCCTCATTAATTGCCAATGGAGACAAAAATCAATATGCTTTCTGTGCAAAATAGCCACAAATGACTGCTTCCAAAGTTCCAAAAGAGTCAAGAATGTGAGACCCCATACACAGATTTTCAATGATTTTGCCAAGAAAAAATTGCACCTATGTTTTGGTCCCAGTAATTTTGTTGTATGTTGTGCAAAATTTGCTATATTTTTCAGGAGAAGCTATGGTAGTTTCGAGTGAAATCAAGAAAAAGGCATACTATAATCATTTTTCCTTGTTCACTATGTGTTTATATCCATGGGATTTGAGACTGTGGCTTCTTCTCTAAAATATGTAAAATTTCCCAGGAAAGCTGTATCTGTTAGAAGTCAAAGCCTCTACCAAAAGAAAAGAGATGTGGACAGAACATTTCCTCTCACCAAGAAAAATTATTTGAACTTGAAAATGAAGGCATGTTTTCATAGTCTTATGCTGGCATGATGGACATATGTTAAGAAAAATGCACAATTATATATCATGTCAGTGTATTTATGTTTTATGTGATTCTGTGTGTACAACCTGGGAAAAACCAGCTGTGTTGTCTGCTTTGGGTTTAAGAAGTGAGGAAGGGAATTGGAACAAGTCAAAAGGAAGAATGGGTTCAAAATCTTTCCGTGAGTCACAATGGGAAATTAGAGAAATAAAGCCATCCAGAATGTTATGTTGCTATATTCTTACTCATATTAGAGCTGCCTGAAGAGCACCACTAATTTTCTGGCTGGCAATTAATTTTTAAGTCATTGGATTAAAACTTTTTCAACAGGGTAAAGATATCATTCTTATGAAATTTCAAGGTAGAAGTTCCATTTGTGAACCAGTTAATTCAACTTGTTTGTAAAGGAAGTTATGGGAAATATTTTAAAAACTAATATAAATACTCTTTTGGATATGAATAAGTTCCAATGCCATGATATAGAAATCATTAGTACATTTAATTACCATGTTTTTCACTAATTTTTATTCAATAGGTTTCAGAGAATTTAATGGACACATTTAAAGTTAAAAATGAAGATATACATATGGATCTGGAGAAATAAAAATCAGACCATGATTTTTTTATGTTTATCTACCCAAAGATTTATATATTGTGTATTATTCTGAATGAGATCAGAAATACTAATGTAGGATTTTAGAATTTGCATACTGAACCTCAAGCCTTCTGATAAAACTGATAAAGCCCCTTAAAATGTTTTTTTTTGTTAAATTATTTTATTGGTACATTTTAAGTATACAGCACAATTACATTTCTCATTGGGAATTGTACCTTTACATAATGCATCTTGGTTCTTATTTTTTCCCCATTCCTAACCTTCCCTTCAACCCCTCCACCTTTCCCTATTTACAAAGACTTTATTTCTGTTTTTTCCACTTCTCAGCATTTTTCCTTTCCCTTCTTTCCTTTCCCCTGCCCCTCCAAGTACCCCTACCTCTTTGGACATTTTCTTTCTATTTTGCATTATTGATTATTCATTCTAATCATTGGTACATTTTAGGTATACAAAATAATGACATTCATCATTGGAAATTTTCACCTTTACATAATCTGTCTTGGTTCTTATTTTTCACCCTTGCCCAGCCCTCCTTCCAACCCCTCCATTCCTCCCTATTTACAAAGATTTTGTTGCTATTTTTCCATTTTCTCATATTAATCCCATTTCCTTCAATCCTTTCCCCTAGCCCTCCTACTTCCTTCCCCTTTGCCCTTTCTCTTCCTATTTCACATTACCTATGATACATTTTAGTCCTTATTTACATTTTCAGTTTCTCACACCAGAGCAACTATTCGGTATTTATACATGTGCATCCTATTTATTTCACTTAAGAGTATCACCTCAATGTGCATCCACTTAGCTATAAATGTCTCTAATTTCTCAT